TTATGTCATGCAACAGCCAGAGCACTCATAAATAATACTCAAAAGAGCCATTTAAATTATATTATTGCAAAAAAAATAGACGAAAAACAACAACAAAATAATAATAAATAAAGTAACTAAGTGAGACACAATCGGAATGGCAGAAACTATTGCCGAGTCTGCCAGTCTGTCTGAGTGTCTGTCTGCCTGTCTTTCCGTCCGTCTGTCATTTATTATATTTATAAAAGCATTTATTATAGTTCAGCTGGAAAAGTCTATTCATAATGTTACAAACTTGCAAACTGCTGCAAGCTGTGAAATGGACTCACAGAAAGCAACCGAGCAAATTTGACAACCTTTAAAAAATCCTATAAAAACTAGTCTAAATCTTTGGCATCAAATTTTAAGCCATATTTAAATGCAGAATAAAATCTATTTTCTGTAAATATTTTGTTGAATTCTCCAAAGTGAGTTTGTATGGAACTCTGCGTGAACAACTTACATCCCCGTTAGTGCAATTCTCTCATCTCATCTCATCTCATTGCAGATTTTACACAGATTTGGAATACATCGGTCACTTTTTAGCCAACACGTTTGAAAGGCAGTATATATAATAAGTAGGAAAAACGTACCAAACAAATTTAAATGAAGTTTTCTAAAAATGCTTTTTAAACCGAACCGATGGTTAACTTACAACTTTTATAAAAACGTCTTTCTTGATTTTTCCACACTTCGGTAGAATTTCCCATCATCCATAATCAGCAATGAGTCGGTCAGTCAGTTAGTCAATCAGTCAGTCATTCAGTCAGTCAGTCAGTTTATCAGTCAATCAGGCAGTAAGGACAAACAGTTTTATATGGAGCGATATATTAAGCTATAATATTTAAATCTGTTCGGCCTTATATGAGCGAAGGTTCAGGCTTTGTGAATGGTCTTTAGACATCATTTGAAACATAAAAAACAAATGAATAGATAAATTTATCTTTTTTGTAAGACAAAAGCTAACCGGTGCCAACTTCAAAGCAGCTCGGCTAGAATTAATTTATTAACTGAATAAGTTACACTAGTTACGTTAGTAAATAATTATTAAGAAAAGAAAACTTACTCAACCAATACACACTGATCTTGAAATGCAGTTTAATTGAACTGATTGGTATTTTTGTTTGGTGACTTCAAACTGAGATAATGAACTTGACACCTAACTTAAAGCTAGTCTATTGAAGCTCTTTAAAAATTGATCGAACTGAATTTATGTGCCAATATGCATATGGCATAGCACAATGCAGCGGACTTGGTAGAAACAAAAACAAGCACTTGATATTTGAAGCAGATGCTGGATTTCATTTGGGGCCGCCGCTTGCAGCTTGACATTGAAGCGCATGCAACAAGAGACTACATTTTGCGATTGTGGATCGACGATAACAAATTATAGCAATTTTAACATATTCAATAAATGTTCATAGGGGCGCTAGAGGCAGATACTTATGAGCATCCAAGCCGAGCAAAGCCAAGCTAAGCCAAGCGAAGCCACAGCAAAGGCGACTAATCCAAGCCGCAAGAGGGAAAAACGAAAAACTGAAAACCAATTTTCAATAAGCTGTTTAAGGTCAGAATAATGCACATTAAACGATTGTTGTTTATTGGCAAATGTCATGTTCAATTAGTCGCCAGCCGCTTAGCTGGAAACGGCGGCCAATGTCACCAACTGATGCAGAGACTCGTGTGGCAAATGGCGCAGCTAAACGTGGCATGCAACGCGTCGCTGTCAGAGCGAATTATGTTAACAAATTGAGTTATGGTTATGGCTATGGATGATGGCGCATTTATGTACACACACACACACACATATATATATATATGTATATATATATAGACATGTACAGGTGCAGGCCGAACTCAAAGCCACAAATTGCCAGCTAGACAACAATTAAGCCATGGCCAGGCCAGGCAGCCCCTGGCCCATTACAGCAACACCAGAGCACCACAAACAAACCATTGTAAGTCATTAAGAAACATAATAACAAACACAATGAACTCAAGTGACGGAAATGGAAATGGTAATGGATATGGATATGGATATGCTACGTATGTCTCAGATAAGAGCCAAAACTCAAGTTGCTCATCTAATTACAAACTGTAGCTCGCGGCCATTTAACTGCAGCCACAGCTGGCTAATGAATTGTTTCAATGACAATGCGCACAGCTAATGATAAACGTTACCATAAGCCCAAACGAAGACGTTACTGTCATCGTAATCGTTTGGTTAATTGCCACTCTGCTTGTCCGCTAGGGCTGCTTCGCTCGAAATTATAAAACATATATTCTTCAATAGTATTAATAAAGAGTACTGTATTACAACTATTTGGATCATAGGACAAAAAGCTTAAACTTAAACTAATTATATTATGCGCCACCTAATACAAATAGTTATAATTATATATCATATGTTTATACCCTTGTAAAGGGCATTAAAATTTTCTCATGAAATGTGTGAGAGCATAGTAGAAAATATCTTGGGACCCATGACGCATATATAGTTTCTTGATCAGCTTCAACAGAACTTATATAGCCATGCCCGTCTCTCTGACTGTCTATTTCTATGCGAACTAGTTTCTCTATCACCTTGAAGGCAGAGTACTATCAGTCAAAAACTAGGCATTAACAACTTATAAGAAAGATAGGTGAAATACTAGAATCTTATATGTCAAAATATTCTGTTTTCAATATTATATTCAACAAACCAGCAACTATTTTAAGAATAGCTTCCCTGCACAGAACTTATATCATATATTTATGAATATATAAGTATATCTGATGATCAGAGTATAAAAATGAAACACAATCAATGCAATGCGAGGTTTTTATAAAAAGTCGCACATTTTCAAACTCTGACAATCCCCATTCAATTGAAATGCATGTTAGCAAAAGTACCAACAACAAATTAAAGAACTAAAGAGACTTGCATGCAAATGAGAAACGTGTGGATGCCATAAAAGGTGCAAAGAGGCGCATGATACAACAGTTTACGGATATATATTAGCTAAGAAGAATTCATTAGGCGAGCAGCTCCCACTTCGATAAATCGATAAATCAATGGGCGATGCAACTGTTGAGTTTTGAATTGTAGTCTCATGTTTCACTCGAGGCAGGCACAGTGTGCCGCCATATGCTCTTTGTAAATGTATGCATGTGTGCCTAGGTGTGTGTGCACATTCGTATTTAATTGAGTCAGGCGAGGCGTCAAGATTTATGGGCGCAGTCTGGGCTGCTAAGTCGGGGGCATGTGCGAGCTGTACATAAAATCAAATTGTTTATGCATAAGCGTCTAATAATGTTGCCTACCCGGCATTGGAATGCCAAGCACGGAACAGAAATGAAACCGAAACTGAAACTGAAACCGAGACAGAAAACCTAAACCGAAACCGAAACAGAAATTAAAATTGAAATTAAATTTGAAACCGAGACCAAGAGACTCATGGCTAAGATGGCTAATTGCGAGCGCATGTGTGGCAAAGTGTTTTAGAAATTAACTCCAATGTTAAGGCATTAAAGCGATCGCATGTTATTGAAATCGGAGCGAACTCATTTATCACAGCACAACACAACATTCAAGACGCTGCAAAATGCTAAAAAAAAAATAAAAATAAAACAATAATAAAGAAGGCAGCCGCTTCTTCAAGCATTCAAATAGTGGAAATTGAGCCGAAAGATGGAGCAAAAAAGTCGCTAGGCTCTGGCAAAGGTCAGCACAAACGAAAAAAATATCTGTTTCGCATTTGCGGCCATAAAAAGAAAACGTTCTAAATTATTGCTGTCATTGAGGCAAAATTATTTAATTGAGAGCTGAGAGTTAACCATCCATCCATCAATCAATCTAACCAACTATGCAATATATACATCTATCTAACGATCTATCTATCTGTTCTATGAATTTGGCTACTAGTGTATGTGTGTGTGTGTGTGCGCACGCGCATATACATGGTATATCATTTACTATATGAGACATCGCCCGTCACCTGCTGGCGACAAATTAGGCAATGATTGTTGCCTCCCGCTACCTCAGTGCAACTGCAACGTGTTGCATAGATTTCAAATGATTGCCATAGACACACATGGATAAATGTGTATAAATATTTTGTGAGCTATGTGTACGAATTTATTCTTTGGCCTGTCCTTGCTTATAGTTCGTGTCTTAAGTCTTTTGTTTAGTGGCTTGACATTTTCACAGCATCATCTTTCAGCGGCGGCTGTTGGTCAAGTTAAATGCCATTTTGTCGCTTTGAACTTTAAAGTTCAAGTCTAAAATGTTTTAAATGTTGGCGCTGTTTGATATTGGGTTGGGCCCAAACTCTTGCATGCATTTGCCAGTGGGTTGGTTGCATGAACACATACATATAATATGTATGTATGTGAGCAGCATAGATTGTGGCATTAATTCTCAAAAACCCAACGCTGAATTACGTTATGCTTTTATTTGGATATCATATTATTTATTACCTGCATTTTTTGCTCATAGAAATAACAGACAATTTTTTGCACTCGTATAAGATTCTCTGTATAAGCATTTCAATGCCGGCCTTACCCATTCTCGACTACTTTTTTTTTTAACCGCACCCCTAAAAGACTAATTACATATTTTTTCGAACACATGCGCATATGCGTTCAAGCCTAGACAGTTTTCTATAATTGAATTAGACTATAGATGGCTTGCCAATGCGGAAGAATTGTTTCTGAAGCCCGCAGCGCAAACCTTGGACAATGTGTCGCTCAACTAACAAATTGGAACGCGCCCTCTCAAGAGTACAGACAGCGGCGCAACACACCTCTGCCCCTCACCCATATAGAATATGTTGAACTCAGTTATTGGCTAAGCGAGTGCGGGGGGGATCTGTGTGGGATCTGCTGTAATGCTGCAGCCTCAAGCAAAACAATTTTTCAGAAAAATGTAATTTTAATTATGTGGCTAACAACAATAACAAATAAAAAATACTGAATAACTAAAAATCAACTTAACTACTTACCTGGGTGCTTTGTTTATTTGTTTGTTGTCTGTGGCTTGGAGTGTGTTTTATCATTAAGTTTTTTTCGTGTCATTGTATTTAGCTCTCGGGCCCAGCTGCTGGCGTCCCAGACCATGGCATAGAAATTCAAATCTAACATAATGACCCCTACGTGCATGTTGCTGTTGCAGTTGTTGTTGTAGTTGTTGTTGTTTTTGTTATTGTTGTTGCTGCTGCTGCTGCAGAGTCATCAATAGGCAGCTCATTGGCAAAATCGCATAGAACGAATCTGAGGTAATTTATAGCATCACTCATACGCCATGTTGCGGCACACAAACAACCGTGAAGCGCTGTTTTACTGTGGAGTAGAAAAATTATTTCATTATTTGCACGAACTTTTGCGATTTGAAGATCTTTGAGTATGCATATGTTTGTTCTAATCGGAACTAAGAAGCTTACTTATTTTACTCTTAAGCTAAGATGCAGGGAAATTCCACACGCACCTGTGGAAAATTGGTGGGAAACAAGCGAATGCAACTTGTTTGTTTGCCAGACAATCGACTTCTATCACAATTTTAGATATCCACGTCAGCATAATAATAATTTAAAGCCACGGAAAATGGGTGGAAGTGCAGCATATGTGCCGAATTACTTGTTAGCAGTTCAAACGAGCAGATTGAAGACGCAAAATACTTATGATTAGTTTTGAATATATAATAAAAATTGTAATATATATATATGTATAAATATATAAATACGTTTTTTGGGTATTTAGTTAAATACAATTATATTCATTATTGTTCTATGTTGTACACTGTGCCCATTGGCTGTTAGATCTGAAGGCATCTTTTCAGCAATTATTATTGACAATAACGAGTAATGTGCAACATGTGCTTGGCAAGCGGTTTATCTTGAAATAAGATTCGTGCACACACACACACACACACTCAATGCACACTCTGACATTGACCGCATGCATCGCCGGCCGGCTGACTGTCCGTTCAACTGTCGGCCTGTCCGGCTGACCAGCTGATTCATCGTCATTGTCAGCAGCGGCTTCATGCAACGGGGCAAGATTCTTGTGATTTTTTTTTAAATTTTTTCATCATACAAACGAATTGCAAATGAAGTTAAATAAATGTCGTGTTGTTGTTGGTTAGTTGGTTGGTTGTTCAGTGGCTGAGTTGTTGAATTGGTTGTTAGTTGGTTGTTAGTTGCAGTGCCAGCTTCAAGGTTGGGCGCCTCAATGCGGAAAACATGACAACACACAAAATGCTGAAGTAAATAAAAAAAAAAAAAACAACAACAAAACTGTCATTAAAGTGTAACATAAAAAGCCGCTAATTGCAAATGTTTATATGTACACACACAGACACAGACACACATAATAATAATAATAACAAGCTCATAAATAACTGCAAGAGTCGTTGCATTGAATTGCCCATTGGCCCCAGAGCCAAACAGGTTGCAATTGCTTCCAACTGTTCAAGTGTAATCCGAGCCCAAAACACACGCCCGCAATTCACATGCACATAGAATCAGGTCAGCAGCACAAGTCCAGACTATCAGATACCCTGTATAGCTGAGAATTATGGTTTGCTCAATTTCTGGAGATGCCAACACAAGAGCCAAGAGTGGGCAGAGCATAATCGATGTTAATATTTCGATAACACACTCTGACGTTTATCGATACAGATATCGATAATTGTCTCTTACCCTAAGGTAGCAACAAGGCTTAGAGAGTGACATTTTGAAAATAACTGTTTATATCCAGCTCGACGTTCTCTTTTTATAGCTGCACCATTTTTTTAATAGTCAATTAAACGTTTAAATGCCAAACGGAATTACTAACACATGACGAATGGTTAATTTAAGCTTTAGATAGAATAACTATCTTGTCCCTTGACGCAAGTATGATTGTTCCCATTTCTCAAAGGCAATTGCAATGCAGTTCCCTCAAAGGTCAACTTAATGAACTGTCTCTGCAATACGCATATCCAAGACTACCATTGACCAGTGAAATGTGCCATTAACTTGCCACAGACAAAGGTCAAACTGCAAGTGCAAACGATGCGACTCTCGATTCACTTAACTTCAATTAAAATCACTTGCGGCTCAGCTGGATTTAGGCTAGTGAAAGTGACGCTGCCGTCGGCAGTCCTGATATTTTGTTTTTAACTCGGAATTTTGAAATTTATAAGCCACACACACACTTAGTCACACACACACATATATAGTTGAACACGCACGAGTCGCTGTAAGTGCCAGCTAAGTGCCGGAAAATTGCAACCGGCCGCTGATGAGTTGCAGTTGCTTTGGGCGTCGCCTGTGGCAGGCGGGCACAAACTGCGGCACAACTGGCATGCATCATAATCAAGTCGTGCCATGAATTATCGTGTCTGTTTATCAAAACTCAATGTGTGGGCCGCGCCAATTTCATACATTTCTTGTACTTATTTTTTTTCTTTCTCTAACTTAACTAGTCGACTTGTCATTGCAGCTATTTCTCTTGCTGCCACATAATACACTAGCTTATAAATTGTATTCAAGCTATTTTACAACTGATTGCAACACACTATAAAATAGCAAAAAGAAATTTTTGACATAATTATTTGACTCAGGTAAATTCTCATTTATAATAAGCTTGAGAGGAAAACACCCTTTGGGGTTCCTTTCTATTTGCTATCTTTAATCTAAACTCAGGGGAGAAATGAGAATCAACATTTTCTTATGAAAAAATATTTATATATATATATCAGCTTTTCATAATAAACGACAGTTCAAAGCATAAAATCACAGAAAAAGCCTTAAAGAATCTGCATAATTCCCCCACATTTAACCCTTGTGCCTGTCATGCGCTAAGCCCGAACTTCATTTGCCTTCTCTGCCTTATAAAATCGCATGCAGCAATGAGAAATGTGCAATGCATAAACTGAGCTAAGTATCAGACATTTATGTGACGTCACCCAAACACAATAAACATAATAATGAACGCCCATTTAACGCCCACTTAGACGCGGTCGCCTTACTAATGGGACGGCATATTGCAACACGCAGGCCAAACAATGTGTTAATTACACGGCCCCACGCCCACGCAGCCACTGTGGCCCATTGCGTTAACGCGCCACAAGTGGTTGCCACAAAGCCAGCGATAATCAGCGAATTGTGAATTCAAATTGAAGAAGTGTCATGTTTAAAATACAATGTAAAATCACCGACAACAATCGCAATGTGCAATTTTTTTCATTTACCTTCTTTTTTTTCTCGCTCTCGTATCCAAATGACTAAACACATGAACGTGTCATGGTGCATAAGCACACACACAAACGCACACACATACCCAGGCACTCTTCCCATTTGTTGTGGGCACGACGCGCTCAATTTAACGCATACGCCCCTGTACCGCAAGTCTCGACATCGTCATCAGGGTCATCATGTTACGAGTACTGAAAGCTCACACACACCCGTACGTACATCACACCGATTATAGCTCAGCTGAATGCGCAAACACACACACACACACACACACACACACACACACACACTCGCACATCTTGATGACTATAATTATTCGGTTTGCCTCACTTTAGTCTATAGTCTCTTTCTCCCTGCCTTCTTTTTTTTTCTTTTTTCACTTTATGTCTGGCTCAGTGCGCGCTAATCATTATGAAATATCTGCGCGTTGCTTTGCTTTGCTTTGGCTTTACTTTTCTTTTCTTCTTTCTGCTTATTGTTTAACACTTTCATAATTTGAGCAACAACAACAATAGCAACAATTGCAATAATCACAAAAACAACATATTTAGCACTTACGTCGCGCTTATTAATTTAATTCCCAAATTCGATGTTATTATTTGTGTTACACTACATTTCATATTATTATATTTATACACTACAATAGTTGAGCCATTTCGATATTTCATCAATTAGATGTTGTTTAGATATTATTAATTATTTCACTGCAGAGTTTCACTGGAGAGTGTTTTGCTGTGCTAAGTCCGAAATTTGCTTCAATTGTGACTGAGCAGATGGCGTGACAGCGCGGTCAGCGGAGAAGTCAAAGGCAGATAACAAGAACAGTTAGTTTTTATGTGAATGAAAGAGTGCCAAGCTTCAGCGCAGGTGCAGCCGCACACATTGTTATCTACATACAGATCCGCGTATGCAGCTTTATTAATGCGAGAAGAAGAGCGAAAAAAAAAACTTAAACGGGGTGTCTCACTATTTTTCCTCCTCTATATACCATTTAGTCAAGGTTTTGGCAAACGCATTAAAAATAATAAGGTGTTTATAAATTATTAATATTTTTGCATATATTCAAATTGTGCCTCATTCCTTGCATGCATTTAGATATATAAAGCAAATTTACATTGAACATTTTATAAAGCTTTTAGCTATTTATTTCTTGCCGCAATCTTACTTGCAAGTTCTCGCAGGTATATAAATCCATTTCATACTCAAATAGGGTATGGGTATTCACTGTTAAATCAACACACTTTTAATTTTCTTTTGTCTGCTTTGACTTTTTAAAGTTTACTGCACTTTTTTTTATTACATTACGCTTACTGAACTATTCCGATTTTCATCAATTAGATATTATCCAGCTCTTAAGAAATGAAGAGAATGGTTATGTTCTACAGTTAGTTTTTAGGTTCAGCGCAGGTGCAGCCGCTCACATTATTACCTACGTATGCATAGATAAGTTAGGAGAAGAGCGAAAAAAGCAACAAAAAATAAAGGATGTATCACTCTCACTCTCTCTCTATACCAGTTAGTTAAGGTGTTGGCAAACCGATTGCAATCAATAATGTGTAAATATTGCATATACATATGTGTATTTAAATTGTGTCTAATTCTTACCATGGCAAAGTAGATTGCATTAACTACTAAAACAAATTCGCGAATGCATTCAGATGAAAAAAAAAGTATTTTATATTGAACAATTAATTACGCTTTTAACTGTTTATTTCTTGCTTTTATCTTACTTAGATATTCAGTCAGATATGCAATAAGCCCATTAAAGGGTATTCGCAGCTCTACAGTTCCAGTTCTACTACAATAATCTTTGGAATTTCACAAATAATTCACTGCACTTAAAATTTACACCTTTTTATACTTCGCGATGTCCAATTGTCTGAACTCTGACAGACAAGTTGGCGTGACAGAGCGGTCAGCGGGAACGACTGAAGTAAAGAACAAGAACAGCTTCAGCGCAGCTGCCGCCACACACATTGTTATCTATGTGTAGATCTGCGTATAGAGCTTTATTTGGAAAGGGCAAAAAGTTGTCTCACTCTCTTACACACTCTCACCCCCCCCTTTCCCAGCGATTCAGTTTGGGCTTCGGCAAACGCATTACACTATACTACCTACACATTTTTATTATTATACTCTGAAGCTTTCGAGGGGTTGTTAAACAAACACACAAACAAACAAACAAACAGAGCTACCTATGTACTAATTGTGTCTAATTTGTCGCATAATAGAGTAGAATACATTTTATTAAAAAATAATTTATTATGTAGTATGTATTTTATATTCAGAATTTAAAAGAAGTATTATGTATTGAGCAATAAATAAGGCTGATAATTGTAGGGTATTGACTGCCCTTTCAACATAATTTCGAAAAACGCAGTTCTTTATTATTTTTATTTGCATTACAATTTTTGTTTTGCATTTTCGTGACTTTCCGAAGTTTTTGCCCGAAGCTTTCGCTTTTCTTTTTTGTTTTAATATTTTGTTGTTGTTGTTTGATTTTTGCATGACTTAATGAATGAATGAATGAATGATTGATGAGCAGACACTCACTCGATGAAAGTGTTGCGCGATTCGTGTTCGTCTGCCTTTTGAGTCGCTTTTATCAGCATTCGGATTCGAGTTCAGATTTTATTTTGCTGCCACTTTCAACGGCAAAAGCAATTGCAAGTTTTTTTTGGTTTATTTTCCTTTTTTCACAATAAAAGAAAATTGTAACGAAAATAATTTATAATTATTCACTTTTGTTTTGCTTTCGTTTTTGTCTTGCAACAGTTGCCAATTCAGTGTGAATATTGGATAATTGTTGTGCAATTTTGATGTATTTTCAAATTATAACATAATTAGTAGTATATATGTGTACATGCCATAAGTTTGTATTGGATCATAATTGGGATAATATGGGCTTTATAAAGTAACTTTTTTCTAAATTTGTACATATATATATCTATATATATATCTATATATATATACAAATTGGGACTAAGGACTAAGACTAACTCCAGAATAGATGAAGAAGATTCGAGATAGAGATGACTCCGAACTGAATACGCTGAATTGCTAAATATAATCAATAGAATACATGTTTACAACGTTTTATTATAAAAAAAAATAAACTACAACATAAGATTGGAAGCTGATACATGTAATATGGTAACAGAATTTAAATGGTACTGCGAAGGAATTTAATTAATATATCATCAGAGAAAGTATAAGCCATTTCTACTTCTTGCACGTGCAAGCCCTTTGCTAGTCGCCTAGGATAATTGAAAAGGCAACTATTTTGTCAATCGTCAAATCATTTAATGCGAAAGCTAACTTATATTCACCTATCTTAGAATGAAAATGGAACTTGAAGTTTAGGGATTACATAACACAACACTTAAGTGCAGGCGAACAGCAAATAATTTTGCTATAAAGCCCAAAGCTCTCTCGCCTGGTTAGTTATTATATGGATTTGCGATTGTTTTGGTATTTTTGAAAATGGGCCATAGGCCAATCAAATACTAGCCAGTTGCTGTTCACCTTTCCCTCAAAACGGGGTGTTGCTGTTGCTCTTGCTTGCGGATTCGATTGATAATGAGCCTACCTGACTGTGTTTTCTTATTGTGGCTGCCTTGTCTTTGGCGAGTGGACATGCTGGCAATTTGGCAAATAAGAGAAACAGTTCAAAGTATAGCTTGGACACAAGCGCGATTCGCATTTACCCCGTCCGACTCTATATATAATATTCTCTTTCCATCAAACATCTGAAAGTAACACTTAAAAGGCGACCTGCATAAATAAACAATATACAGTTCAGATTAGTTACAATAGCATGTAAATATTTGATGAGGCTGAAAAAATCACCCGCTTTGAGTGGATACAGGGTATGAGAATAAATGAAAAAAACGTGCAGCACCAGCTTTAAGCTGGACACTAATGAAACTTCAACGAACTGGTCAAATAAATAATAAAGTAATTTATACTTAATACACGACATATCGCTGCCAAAAGCCGAAATGTGTTTGACCCATTTTCTGGCAGCGCTATCGAAAATCATCAAGCAGCCGGGCAGCCCCCACAGCCGCCACACAAGTGAACCAAACTTCGCAACCCAAACCCGAACCTGAAACATACCCAGCCAATGGCCAATTACACTTAACAAACTCATTATGTTCCGTTTTGCCAGCCAAAACAAAAAAAACCTAACCCGAAAAAGCCACCAGCGGGTGTCAATATGCAAGGCATTGTAAATAACAGAGTGATTTTTTCGAGAGTGCTCAACTAAGAGATACCCTATAACAGCAGTCGAGCTAAACACTCTCGGCTTACTTTCATAAATCAATCGATTGTAACTGAACAAATGAGACATACTCTGTTCAAGCATTTAAACACAAACTATATAGCTCTAAAGCAGCTAAAGACACTCAAGCTAGCTCTTATCAGCTGCGACATATGATTGAACAAACATAATTGAACGACTAAGAGATACCCTGTGCAATCAGTCGAACACAAAAAATATATTTGTAAAGCGCCTAAACACACTCGGCTAGCTCGTATACGCTTCTATTAACTATTCAAAAACTCGAACTGCAAATCGATTTTTACCGATTTCGTGTAATTTATCGATAACCTAATATAAACTTGATCTGTACGTGGAATCAAAGCACCTACAATACAGATTTTAAGCTTAAGCTTAAATGGATTGATACATACGAGTAGATGGACAGGCACACATACAGACAGATGGACTTGGCTGGATCGACTTGGCTGTAATGAATTACAGGGTAGATTTTTTATTATATATTTTTAAGGAAACTTCAAACCAAAATACCCTCTTATACCGTTTTTCGCAGGGTATCAAAATGCTTTAAACAAAAAAAAATATATAGAAAAAGGCCAGAAAAATACCGTTAGCATTGCATGCAGTGAAAATCCGAATTCATGTTGAAATAAAGCCACAGACAAGCAGCGAACAACAACAACAACAACTGCCTATATGAAAGGCGGCTCGTGCTGGGTAGGTGGTAGTTGGTGGGCCCCGGGGGGCGCGGCTTACAGCCATGCATGCTGCCATGGACAGTGGGAGGGTCGGAGGCTCGCTGGATTGGTCGGTTTTGCTCGGCTATCTGACAGGCAACATGGCTAGAACAAAATTTATGCCAGCTGCCAGCTGCTTACATTATTATCGACTTTTATCGAGACGACATTTGACTGGTCAACGGCAGCCAACAATAACAATAACAACAACCGACAACAACAACAATAGCTACAAATTTGAGTCAAGCCACTGAAGCACTGTAATTGAGCCGCGCAGCGAGTGGTGGCACGAGCGGTGCCGCACAACAATTCAGTGCTTCGATCTGCCAGCTGTGATATGACAAAAATATTTGCTGCCTTAAGAATTTTGCATTTGATGTGCTGCATGCAACCTTTTGGTATGTTGCAAGCAAGCATGCAATATGTGAGGCAGCACCAACCAATAGATACCCTATATGAAGCAAGATATATAGTAACTAATAGTTATATAGATAATAGCAAGAATATCATAGGGATTGATTCCTTCAATTAATTTCTTGTCCTTACTTTTCGGCGGCCTGTAAGTGGGAATTTCAGCTAGTGCAAGCTACGTTTCGAAGTATACGTTTTTAAGCATCAACAATATTGTGTGGACCTGCAAGCGAACTGCCGATATAAACGCACTTTAATTTCCGGGATTTTTTTTTTTTTAAGATGGAGGGGGGGGGGGAGGGGGTCGACTCTTAAAGTCTTCAGAAATGGCTGAAGAGCCTCCGAAAATATTGCAGCTTTCGCTTGCTTCTCAATACATTTTGCTGTCGTCATCAACCCACACATTTCGCCACTTCACAATGACGGGGCAAACAAAGAAGTGCTGCTTGCTAAGACGACGAGCCACTCGATGCTGAAGTCGATCTTCGAGTGGAAGCCCGCTAGCTTGAGGGGCCCATCGAAGAGCCGTCAAGCAGACATCTGTTCGCCTGCCGGAAGATGCATTTCGTTTTTGCTGTTTATTCATCTCATTGATCTCTCCCTCTCTCTCTCTCTCTCTCTCTCTTTCTTCTTTTGCAGCTGAATTTCCAGAGGAAGACAGCGACATGCTGATGGAACCGAATGACTTTACGCCCATAACTGTGCTGCGATCCCATGAGCAGCAGCACTTCCATATGCCGCCCACAACACAGCTGCATCAGCAGCAGCAACAGCAGCAGCAGCAGCAACATCATCGGGCAGCTGCTGCCACGCCCGCACAGAGTCGCCACTTTCAGGCAGCCTTACAGTCAGTGTCAGCAGCGGTGCCAGCGCAGCAGGAACAGTTCCGTCCCATTGCAAATCCGAACACACAGCTGATCTCGCGGGCCGATGTAACGCCCGGTCCCGGTGCGGATTCGCACAGCCAGGCTGCGCAGAACTTCTATCCGCCTTTCTACCATGAGGCGCCGCCATTGGGCCACTCGCGTCCATACTTCGCTGGTCCCGCTGGTCCCGTTGGTCCTGCCGGCGACAACTCGCCGCTACAGCTGCCGCTCTTGGCGCCGGCCCAGCAGCAGCAGCAGCAGCGCGGCTTTGATGCAGCCATTCTGGGCAGCGGTGATTTTGGTGTTTTGCGTGGCGGCACCTTCTATCCGGAGGAGGAGATGCCCTACCATCCAGAGGACAACAGCGACTACATTTATGGGGATGCCAACAATGGCCATGGTCGTCCCAGCGAGGCTTTCATCCAGAAATATACGTATCCCGAGGAGCAGTTCGCCAACTTCCGCGATTTTGCTGATATTAATACGCCCGCAGATTCGGCCTTCTCACAGTTTGTGGTCGTCTATGCGGCCAAGAATGCGACCAAGCCGAGCACCCATCCACATCCGAAGAACATATTTGAGCAGCTGGAGCTCCTAGATCGCGAGAAGGCGCTCGAGGAGGCGGCGCTCAAGAAGCAACAGCCCAGCAAA